TATAGGCTTGGCAGTGCTATGCTCGCTAGCACCACAGCTGAAAGAGACTTGGGGGTCATGATTGACCACATGATGAATATGAGCCACCAATGTGATGTCGCAGCTGGTAAAGCAAACAAAACTCTGGCTTGCATCTATAAATGCTTCTCAAGTAAATCTCAGGATGTTATCCTCCCGCTGTACTCGGCCTTGGTGAGGCTGCAGCTGGAGTACTGCATCCAGTTCTGGGCTCCACAATTCAAGAAGGATGTGGAGAAGCTTGAGAGAGTCCAGAGGAGAGCCACGCGCATGATCAGAGGGCAAGAGAATAGGCCCTATGATGAGAGGCTGAGAGCCATGGGGCTTTTCAGCTTGGAAAAGTGCAGGCTGAGGGGTAACCTGGTGGCTGCCTATAAGTACATAAGGGGTGTGCATCAGGATCTGGGGGATTGTCTGTTCACCAGAGCGCCCCAAGGGATAACAAGGACCAACAGTCATAAACTCCTCCATGACCATTTTAGGGTGGACATAAGGAAAAACTTTTTTACTGTCCAAGACTCCCTCCAGAAGTGTTGCAGGCACGTTGTCTGGACTCATTCAAGAAACAGTTGCTTATCTTGCTGGGATCCATTGACTCTAGCTGACTTCCTGCCCCTGGGGCAGGGGGCTGGACTTGATAATCTTCAAGGTCCCTTCCAGCCCTAATGTCTATGAAATCTAATTTGTGGATCTTTGTTAGGATGTATTTCAAGAGGTCACTCTTAGTACTGAAGAATGTTTTGAGGTGAATGTACATGAGAGAAATCGCCCTGTGGTTGGATCTGGGTTCCTCTGGATGTCAGTGTTTACAGAAAGCTCATTACTTGAAAACATGCAGTGGCAGCTAATGGTTGGCATCTTCCAACCCCCAAAAAATCAGAGTTCCTATCTTTGCTTTGATATGTAAGGAATATTGCAGCCTTACCATTATGGCTTTTAGCAGCTTCTGTGATTTTATGTACCTTGTCAATGTGCCAAGTTTGGGACATGCCTACAGTCTTCTTTGTGGATCTTCTTTCTTCTTTTATTCCCTTTTGGCAGTTATAAATAAGTGACTATCCATATATTGTATCAGAATTAAGGAGCGAGAATGCTTTATAAATCCAAGGGAACAGCAATACATTTATACATATACAAATTTGTCAAATACGGCCCAAATTTTCAATCTAACCTTCTCTGAGTCTCTGGTTTTGTACCTATAATTCTGAAACAGCAACAAGTTGTCCTGAAATCTAAAACGTTTCCCTTACCAATGTATTCCTTTGAAAAATGAAAACTAAGCTACATAGGTATGTTTATAAGAATTAAAGAAAAAAATCATTCTTTTGGATAAACTGAAGAGGTATCAGTAACCCACAGTATAACAACTATTACATAGAATGTGTGTAAAATGACGGATAATTTTTGGAAAATAAAACAAATTAGTTCCATTAAATTTATGTACATTTTTATCATTATTATTGGTTTAGTGTATGTGTATATACATATCACTCATAAACTTACACCTCTCTGAGTTTGGCTGTAAATAATTCCATGCAATTTTCAATATAGTGCAACTTCTTAATCACAGCAGATTAATGATCTCATGCTGAATGTAGATACAAGAAGGAAGTAATGGAATGAAAAAATGTATCACTACCAAGTTATTAATACGGCTAATAGAAGCCAAGTATTTCAATACCAAATACACTGTGGGCATGTCTGCATGTGCATTTAAGCATGCCTAAATTTAATGTGCATTAACTTAATGTGCATTAAGCAAATTTAGACAGGTGTCTACACGTGCAGGCATTAAAGCACATTAATGCTGTGTGTGGACTGACTTGGGACACAGCATTAATGCACTTTAACACATCTACATGTTCATTAACACGCTTTAATTATTCACGCCTAAATTTGGTACCTGCATTTGCAAATATCAAATTTAGGCACCAATAGCTTAAATTCACCATTTTTAATGTGCATTAAGGGCATGCATGTGCAGATGTTTGCCTTTAATGTACGTTAGCTTAAGTTAAGGCATATTAAAGTGTCACATGTAGACGTGTCCTGTGTCACCTAGCTCTCTTTAAAAAAATTACATACTATCACATGAAAAAAAATCCTAAATGAAATAAATATTTGAGCAAATGAATCAGCAAACCATCACTGAGGTAAGACTATTGAGCACAGACAGCGTGACAGAGATCTTTCACAGGTGTCTGTTGGCGTAACTTCAGTCAATTCTGTTGAGTCAGTGGATGCTTTGGCCTCAGTGAAACTCAGTCTACCTCAGAGGTGGCTAATTATAGATTTAGCAGCTTAATATTTTGTCTGAAAAATTTGCATTAAGTTCCTGACTGCTCATGCCATATTTGTGCATGCAAAATGTAATTGAATCTGTACGCACATGCAGCTGGTCTCCCAAATATATTTTAACTTACAGCGTGAAAATTTGGCCCCCAATGCAATAATCACTGTACATGGGATTTTATGCATTATGATTTTACCAACTCTTCAAAATCCCAGAAGTGAGCTGCAGGGGAATTTCAAAGGAATAGAAAATAGATTTTAAAACAAACCTAACCCAGACACTAGTTTCTTATGGTGCACATGACCAAATTAACTAAAAGTAGTTATTTACTTTCTCATTTTATTCTACTCAAAGCTTTAGTGATTCCAATAACATTTGATAGGGATAAACAATATACTGTAATAAATTATGCTGGACTTGTGAAAACAACCCATAAAAATATTTTGCTGTTTATTTTATCAGGCTTTTCAACAACAAAATAAAATTTTAATTAAAATCTCATAACTTCAGTATAAATTTTTCCCCTGATGAGACTTCTGGACAGCTACCAATCCATAATGAAAAAATGTGGGCTTGAATCTCCACTCTGTTGCAGTAGTTTGAGATCAGTATAGTTCTTTTGTCTTCATTGGAATTACATTGATGTAAGAAACAGTGAAGTAATGGGCCCTTTATCTATAACTCTCCCTCTTTATGTGCTTCATGGGGCCTGACTGTCAAAAGATCTGGTGAGTAATTGTACATCTAGTGTGCACACACAATTACTGCAGATTGTACATGACAAATGTTTGTACCTGCAAATAGTGAATTGTGGTCTCAGCAGACTGGAGGCTCTGGTCCCATAGTGTCTTTTTTTGGGAAATGACTTTGCAATTGGGAGATTTCCTCGCATTTTTCCCTTGTGTAGAAGGAATTTCCACTTGTGTGGTCCTGCCAGAGGCAACAGCCGGCTCCTGTATTTGCTGGTCTTTCACTCCTGTTGGAGCAAAGGGTGCTTTGAGAGATGTGATAGACTGGGGTTCTGCTATGCCTTCTCTTTCC